TTCGGGGATCACATGGGTGATTTTTCAAATAGAGTACTATGATACGGGACACACCAATCAATAAATCACTTGTGCGCTAACGGATGTTTATTTCATTAATCTGCCTAAATCTCTTCCTATGCATACATGAAAAAAGGGCACTTGTAAATATGCATATGGCTGCTACTGTGAGCAGATTGTACACACAATATGAAGAATTGATTTTTTTTAATGTAAAAAGAATAACGATAATAGTCATCCTGTGCATTTTGTTATTAGACTTTGAATTAATGCTTGTAAAACCTTTTGATTGTTACTTTTTTATTGCAGGTTTTTTAAAAACTGGTTCAAAAGGAAGCGCTCAGGGCAACTTCGGCCTAATGGACCTAATTGCAGGACTGCACTGGCTCAGGGAAAACTTAGAGGAATTTGGAGGTGACCCTCATAACATAACTGTTATGGGTCACGGCACTGGAGCTGCTCTAGCTAATTTCATTGCAGTATCACCTGTTGCAAAAGGTGAGAACAACTTTACATGAGTACATTTGCCACAAGAACCTCATTCTGTTATACTGGGAGATATAGAATATCATATAGGTTTTGAGGTTTCAACAGTGCAGACGCGTTACCGTTCACAAATAATTGTAGTACAAATGTTCTGATTCTGTTCTATAAACGAATTGTAACAAGTTATAGTCGAGTCCCACATATATAGTTGAAAGTCCCAACGTATTTTTTAATGGGGTGCTCATATTCCAGGACACGATTCCTCAAATAAGGAGGAGAAGTTTATATGAACACATGTCCGCAATATATTCATTTTGGAATATTTTAACTAGATGAAGATATAATAAAAATGAGAATAGTTCAAGAAATTTTGAATAGATGCTGAGCATCACAAGGTTTGTTTGACCAATTCGCTAAGGAAAACTCGATAGGCGTTGATGTGATATCGGAGCCGAATAAAAATAGTGGTCCAGGAATATCGTATGAAGATGGGGATGCAGCTATTAGATTCACAACCAAACAACATCTACTAAGCAAATGCAAAAAGGACATGTTTAGGGTAGAAATGGGGTTGTGTTATGTATATTATATTCCACCGTACAACTGAGGCTTTTTTTTACTATTTAGATCACTTACCAGTAATTTTATTAATGATAGGGTACCGATTCCTAGGCCAAACCCTTTTTCAATGATTTTCTGTTGCCGAATTTCATAATTTACTGAACCATTGAGCTCGAAACTACCTAATCCTGAAAGTATGATTTCACACACCTCATATCTTGCTTTATTAGTAGTCTAATATTATTAACAAATTTCCCCAAAATACTTCTAAAGTCTGGTTTTATTAATGCAAGTTGTTCAAGTGAGTATTTAAAACATGGACGCGTAAAATGGGTACACCAATTTTTGTGGGAAAACTTTTCATTTGACAACAAAGACTGTGAATACGTGTTTTATTGGGATTCATTCGAAAGTGTTGACAGGAACGAAAAGCTTTTAATACAAGATTTTTAGGTATTTATGAGACCTATAAAATACGACCACATTAGAAAAGATCTGTCTAAAAGCAAAAATGTTATGACCCAAAAACGAGGCAAAATGTAGGTTTTTACACTTGTATAGTGCGATGACAATTTCAAGCAAATACTTTAAATTCTCTAAATTGAATAACAACAACAAAATGGATTATATTGGTCAAGTAGTTATTTGAGAATTTCTAATTGTTTATCCTAAAACACCTGTTTTCCGGCCATCACTACTAGTTTATTGGGCAATATACAGGGTTCGCTCAAATAGCATTTAATAGCAAGATACACGTGTTTACCTTGCCGATATGAATCACAAATCATACCGAAAAATAAATGTTCTTTCTATGCGAAAAACAAAGGTTACATTTTTTTCTTCTAAGCAAATTCAAACACTTCGTATTTGTGAGTAATTGAGCAAATACGCTACGATATTCGAAAAACATACATTAACATACACATTTTAAAATAAAGTAGACGTGTCTATCATCTTTTGTTACGAATTACTCACAAATACGAAATGTTTGAATTTGTTTAGAATAAAAAACGTAACCCATCCTTTTTGCATAAAAATAACATTCATCTTCCCGAATGGTTTGCGATTCATATCGGGAAGGTAAACTAGTGTATTTTGCTATAAAATGCTGCTTGAACTAACCCTGTATATTGCTTAATAAACTAGTAGTGATGGCCGAAGAACAGGTGTTTTGGGACAAATAATTAGAAAATCTCAAAAGCTACTTGACCAATCTACTCCAATTTTGTTGTGGTTACTTAGGAGTACGAATCCTACGAATTTGAAGAATCTCAAATATCTGTGAGAAACCATCGTCGCATTACCAACAAGTGCCAAAACCTGCAGTTTGCATCGGTTCACGGCAGTAAGTTTTTTGCTATCAGCTGGACTTTTTTCGTGTGGTCTCATTTTCTCAATCTCATATATACCTAAAAATCTTATATGAAGAGTTTTTTAGTTTCTGCCAACACTTTCGATTGAGTCTCAAAAAACACCTATTCTCATTCTTTGTTGTCAAATAGAAAGTTTTCCCACAAAAATTGGTGTACCGATTTTATGCGTACATGTCTTGAATACCCCCTTGAACAACTTGCGGCAATAAAACCAGACTTTACAATTATTTCATAAACCAGTGGTATTTTCGACTAACGTGATTAGACTATAGCGACTCAGAAATTTCTTCATAAAAGATCCCTTTATACGCAACATTATTTTGGAAAATAATACGAAGGTTTACCCATAGGTAACCAGAGCGTTTTGTGTAGGTTCGGCTGCGGAACTTTTCTTGAAATTCGTGTGGGTAACCATTAACGTTTGATTAGGAAGGTATATTTACGGCCCTTCAACGGATTTCCAGATTTTGGGACATTTCGCCCCAGTCACCAGTTTATGGAGTAGCACCCTTTCTTGTACCTACCTCACGTTTAGTTGTTTTGATTTTGGTTCCACCCACTCCATTTTTTTGGAGATTTAGGCCCGTATCGTCGGTCGTCCCTACAATTGTAGGGCGCGTTTATGGCCTCCTTGATTGTCATACTCCTTTCCCTCCTTCAAAAATTTCTAGGTTACACTTGTCCCGTGTTAGCGTCAGCGCTCTCCTATTGTGGAGATCTGTTTTCTTTTTAACTTGTAGAAAATTTCAGGCTGATAAAACATAATATAACTCAAAAGCAAGCACAATTTGATGCAAATAGATGTTTGTGAGATAACCTCAAAATAGAGCGCTGACAGGGAGAACTAGAAAACTATGACAATCAAGGAGGCCATAAAAGCGCCCTACAATTGTAGGGACGACTGACGATACGGGCCTTAACCTCTTCAGCGTAAATTATTTTTTATACCAAACCGTGGGCGTAGTGAAAAAAAGCATTTACTTATTAAGTATATTCTTTTGGTCAAATTTCTTCTGAAAGTAGTACAAACTAACCTGATGCACCTATTAAAGTCTACTTTAAACTTTAAATCAATACATCTTTAAAACTACTGAACTGGAGCTCATGTATTTTACATCATTATAAAGGGAATTGGAAGATCTTTAAAATAAGGTATCACTCGACCCCCCTTTCCATTTAAGATGTTAGGGTTGGTGTCACCCCCGCCCAGGGGGCTGCACGTATTAACGTGTTTTTTTGCCAAACTTATGCCCCCCTCAAAAAAAAACTGAGCTGCCAGTAAATACGTCTGTTTCGCTTTCGACGCGCCACCCTGAATAGTGATTTTTTTTAATATCTTGGTTTATTTGGCTTTCTGTATAATTGATTAGGTAACGTCATTGCTGTTAGATTCCTTTCTTTTGTGCGGTTGGTCAAACAAAACAGGTTCCGTGTAATGACATGGGGATTTGTAGTTTAATCCGTCTTGACTCATTGGCGCTCTCCGCTATATTGAGCTAGGCCTTAAATTTGTACGCCACTAGATAGCTGTTTTGCATTGGCTGACCCTTAGATTTCATTTATCGTGTCGTGTCCTCTTGTTTATAAAAAAGCCGTGGCAGCTTATGTACCACAGTAGACAGGAGTACCTCGTTGGAGGAGTATTCAATGCTACAGCCTGGGGATGTTGGCCAATCGATGTAATAACAAAACGTATGTCGCAAACAAGAAGTGATATTTAGTAAGCAATGTAACAGGTCAAACCGAGACACATCACAAAAAAATTTATAATGGATCAGATCTTTAATATTATCCCTTTCTATAATGTTTGCCCTGCATTCTCAAAAGACATCTAGTCAAATCTAATATCATTGAAGAAAAAATATTATCAAAATAGTACGGAAAGTAACCCCTGTCCCTTTTACGTTTAGGATGTATAAGCATAGTCAGTTAGAACCCCTATATGACATATTGATCAACATGGTCCTTACAACCAGTTTATCTGAATGTTGGACGAGTGATTACTTGATACTCCATTAAAACCTTCAGAGTTAATTTCTATTTCTGCAATCTCCTTGGAATTGTTCACCCTCGCAAGTTATTCAAATGCTGGAAAATTAAATAGCAAGTCTCTAGTGTACGCTGAGAGCAGAAAAGGGCAAGCAGAGCGAAACAATACCTTTACAGAAGCTAATTTCTGAGCTCAGCTTACGTTTGCCCGGTTCGTCCCTCGTGGGTTCCTTTCAAGGTGCCTTTTTCAGGACGCTCTCTTTTATGAGACGAATTGCCGTGAAAATAACTTCCAGGAGTGCATTTTAAGGTGAATATATAATTATGTATAATAGAATTAATACTCTGATATGATTACAGCAGGAACAGTATTATTTCTGTGTATTCTTGACAAGCGGATGGAACTCATGAGGAAAGTTTTTTGCGCCCTTGAATCAGTCGTACCATATACGACGTCAACCAAATCTGGGCATTAAACTTTTTCTAACACAAAAACTTTAAAAGTTAAACGATTTTCAGCGTTGGTTCAAAGTTGTCGGCGAACTGGATTATTGAATACTAATTAGTACTATAAAATCTATCAGTTTTGACGTTCTTTGTTACAGGCAGCTGACATGGGCGCCCCCAGGAATTTTTCTGAGGGCATGGTGCCGACAATCGGCAGATGATAAATTTTAGTAACAGTGTACCTGCCTCCAAGACCTTTTGAAGAGCGAGGTGTACCAAATTTTCTCACGGGGGGCGGATCCTGAAAATCCTCAAAATTGTACAAAAAATCATGCTTTGTGTCCTAGATGTTAGGGTACAATGCTCTTGTGTTCCAATTTCCAAGATCGTTATAATTTGCTGGGTGCAAGATGGCGGTACTAATTAGCAGATATCGGTCACACATACAGGGTATTCCCTAACTGAATGTAAATATTCAAGGAGCAGGTTATTTTTTGGTCAATTATAAAAAAAACTCTTTACGGACTTGTATCCTTAACGTCTTAACTTCCAAGATACAGGTGGGTAAAGTCTTCAATTTGTATTCGCATAAGGCAGACTTGAGCTCTTTAATTTTTTAAAACCGACGCACGATTGTCACCTAGAAAATATATATTATTCTGCATGGTGATATTGTCATACTAGCGATATGATCATGTAAAGAAGCAGTTTTCATTTTTTGCAGATCTCCAAAGTAATCTTTATTTTGAGAGAGGTCAATGGGGTACCATCAATTTCTGCCAAAATAGGCAGGAGTAATTCCGTACGAACTCCGCTAGTCAAAATTTTCCTTATCTAAAGTGCTATTTACGAATATTAATCGTAAGTCGTCTAGAACGTACGTGATATAAAGTTTTTTCTTAAAATGTATCCAAAAATCGACTTAACTATTGACATTCAATTACGAAACAATGTGAATTATAAATTTACACGGATATTAATGAATTTTTTTTGACATATTGGTTTTTTGTCACATTATGTAGGTTTTTCTACAAGATGTTAACTTAACACTAGCTGATGGACATGCTGTGAACTCGTTTTGTAGTTGTACTTGTTGCCTAAATGTCATGAGGCTTCAATTAAAAAATCGTAATTCATAACTTTGAAAAAAGCCTGTCTACAGGAAGGATAACATATAAATAACCCGGCTGGACAATCTAATAGGTAAACTTCATTGGCAGTATATTCAGTAATGATTTTCTCACACAGCAAATTCACATGTCTTATACACATGCAGACCAATACACACAATCATCCAGATGCGATCTTGCTATTCAACGAACTTTCTTCTCAGAGATGAAAACTATAGACTACTCTGCTTCACAAACAACAATGCGTGTAGTTGAGCTATTCCTACAAAGATGTACGTTCACATCGATTCTAGTGAGCAAACGTGGAATGAGTGTTTGCACCCTAAAAACTATCTAGTCTGCAAGATGACATTTTATAGTTTTTTTTTTACGTTTTATAGTTTTTTTACATAATATCCGGGCCGTTTCAGCCAGGGGCAGGGAAACCAATAGATTTATTTACGAAATCATAGAGAGTGACTGACATGTAAAAATCGACATGACCTTGAAGTGGTTTCGTAAAGCTCAAAATCAAGAGTAGGCGTAAAATTAGAGTATATATATATATATATTTAAAACAACAGTCCGACAGTGGTTTCTTCCCAACCGCATATTCAACACCTGGAATAGTTTACCTGAAAGTGTGGTTGGTGCTACTTCAGTTAATAGCTTCAAAGTGCAGTATGATAGCTGGAGGAGTGTACAAACTTTATAACTATGAACTATCTTTTTTTATTTTTTTCTATTTGATGTATTTGTGTTACGTGTCCGTACATTATATTTACTGCATGAGCTTATAGTACTGTGTACTCTGCTCATCTCAATTATCATAATAATAATAATAATAATAATAATAATAATAATAATAATAATAATCCTTGACAAGCAAACTGGGCTCATGATTTAAGTCCTCGAACTGATCTTGCCAAGTCTATACAATTTTAACCAGACTGAACTCTGAATAACGAAGTTATTGGTGGGTCTTAAATCTCCAATTTTTGAACAGCTCACTGAAAGAACAATGCCTTCACAGATGTTAATTTCTATAGTGAGCTTACGTCTGCAAGTTTTGTCCCTCGTGGGTACCTTTTCTGGGAGCATTTTCAGGAGATCCTCTTTTATAAATCAAATTGCCGTGGAAATAACTTTCAGGAATGCATTTTAAAGGCGAAAATACGATTATAAATTCAATGAAATGAATATTCTGATGTGATTAATAACAGCTGGGGATGGTAGGGCCGAACCTGTCTACCGCGCTGTTCGGAACTCTTAAGTGATGGACGAGGAATGTTTTCAAAGTTGGAAGCATCTGACTTCATTTCACATTATATTAGAGGAGATTGATATGAGTTTGCAAGATAGAAATGAGCATACATGTGCCTGTATTGTATTTTAGATTACTTTATAGTCCAGGATCTCATATATCATCAAATGCACGTTGACATTTAGAATAAGTTGACACAGCTATAGTTCTGGAAACCCCATGGGCGGACCAAGCACGATCTCATTAAGAAACCGAGTACCATGTACTCGGTCAGATTCGAATACCGAGTACCGGGTACTCGACCGAGTATTCGGTGAAGCAATTTGCTTTGGACTATTTCAGCTACTTTTATAGACATTTAAAATTATATATACATTTTTGAAAGGTCCGTTTATTCTCGAAGTTGACCTACTTTTCCATGGAATTAACACAGCACAAAAAATCCGGTTGTGCAGCTTGGACAATTTTTTGTTAGTGAATTGTCCCCAGTGTATTTATAGTATTTCCAGTAGTTTCATTTTTTTAATGTACCTATAGGACTCTTGCAATGGCTAAATAATAATCACTGCGGATTTAGCTGCGATGTTGAGTCAAAATTGAAACCATATTTTGAATTGCACCTTGGAATCTTTGTTCGATATACTTTTCAATCCATCATATTACAACAGCACGTTAGGCCACGCTGCTCAATTTTTGTAAAATTATCTGAGAGTCGCATGGTCGTCACAAATACTGAAATTAATGGGCACTGGTTTTTGAGCTGCTTTTAGGAGGAGGATACTAGAGAAGTACAAATTTAAACTGCGGGATGTCGTGGCGGGACTATTTCACATTTGAGATGGGCTAAATAATCTAAATTATCCCTACATATTAGTAGACGCTTTCTTGATATAAACATGGGATATTCGTTGCTCGCGTTTTCTCGCATCATTTTATTTTGCGTTTTATTTTATGTGGCTTTTGTTGTTTACTGAGTGTTCATATATATGGTAAAGCTGGAATAAAAAATGCAAGAAGTGCTATTCTAGCTGCTTCTTGGAGTAACTGTACTTATTATGAGAAAAAAAATATGTATTAGTAGCTAAAAAATAAGCTGCGTAGTTATTGCAAATACACTAGCTTACTAGAGGAGATGCCTGACATTCACTTAAGACTCATTCAATTCAGGCAACTGCCTCCCGGTAAACATATGCTGTTAACTGGCCTATTTCTTTCTTACTTTTTTGATGGTGCGGTAGTTTCTTGGAAAACGCATCAAGAAAGTTAAGGAAAGACATATGAGCTCAGACGTTGCAGCCCCGCTTGTAATTCTTTGATTTATACAAGTTGTGTATATTGAGCTCGGACCGATAGTTCACCTTATATTTCTCAGTGTATTTGGATGAGTTGGATCTACATAATTGTTTTAGAGGACTCACGTCAGCAACATTTGTTGCAAAGATTGTACGCCGCTAATTTTTGCAAAAAACTGATATTCATATATCTAACCGAGATTGATTCTACTCAAAAATTGCCGCGTGGAGCTTTTCGTTCTCGAAATTGAATTATTTTATTAAGCAGTAGGTACCATCTGTTTGTAGTTATTAAAGAATTGTATAATTGAGCTATCACTTTTTTTAAGAACATCAGTATGACTTTGAGTCGCTAATATTTATTTTTGCATTAATGAATGGCGTATAATTTTTCGCTGAACATACCTAAGTCGATGAATTTGTTCTTTAATTTTCGTAGTAACTGTCTGTATGTACAGCGTTGAACATTCAAGTATAGCTACACGTCCAAAATTCTTCTACATTCTTTTACAGGTATTCCTGTTAAGGAGGATATCGCAGTAATCTGGCTTTTATTTCAGGTTGTGAAAAAAATAGATTTCAAACTGACAATTATGTTTTGACAACTGAATCGTGTTATTTCCCGCATAGGATCATAAAAGTATATTAGCTAGGGTTTAACTTACTTGTTATATGAATAGCTTTATGAAGAAAAAAGTTACTCGTAACATCTGTAAGTTTTTTCCTTGCAGGATTGTTCGTTTGAAATTGTATGTGCTTAACGATTTTAACGAGATACGCTTCCAGCACTCTTTGTCAAGCCGGCAGGAATGGGAGCTGCATAAAAGGGATGTCAAAAATCATTCAGCCTTAAATCTGTATTGTCACTTCCTTCATCAGTTAAGTCGGGGCAATATTCTCACATTAGTGGGGAGATTTTCCAAATCGATATTTTTTTCACAATACCGTGTGTTCGATAAACCTTAACGTGAACTAATAGGGTGCCATGAGGAAACCTGCTACAAGCTTGTGTACGCAATTCATTTTAAACAAAATACAAGAAATTATTTTTCCCTTGGACAAAGTTTGTTAGTTGTTTAATTCGCTCTGAATAAAAAAGGTCTTGAGAAGGTTATATGCGAAGTTTGAGAAATCCTAAAAATAGTCATCTTCAATGCTTGAAGACTCGATTAAAATTATCTTTAGGCTTATTTTATTTCGAACCATTATTATTGAATTGTCTGGACTATGGGCCACGCAGGTGTGTAACTGGGCTACGGCACGGGTGTCATGTAAAAAACCTATAAAACGTCGAAAAAACCTATAAGATGTCAACTTGCAGACTCAGTAGTTTTTAGAACGTTTGCTCACTAGGATCGTTGTGAACGTCCATCTATGGAGGAATCACTCAACTAAACTACACGAATTATTGGTTGCATATGCTTTGTCAGGCTGAGTGGTTCATGTCTGTAGTTTTTATCTCTGAGCAGAAAGTTAGTTGAATATCTAGATCGCATCTGGATGATTATGTGTATTAATCTGCATGTGTATAAAATCAGTGATACTTGCTGTGTGAGAGAATCATTAATGAATATGACGGGTTATTTATATATTGTGCTTTCTGAAGAGAGGTTATATATGGTATGTAATTACTGTTAGCATGTATATGACTTGTACTTGGACAGTGTACAGTGAATATAACTACTTCTTATCGCTCTCATTTTTAAAATTCAGCAATCTTGTATATGTAATTTACAGAATAAATAAGAAAAAGTGGCTACGCAACTAATTTCTAGCTTTGATTCTCGATTAAGTGTACTTGAGATAAGAATCCAATGGAATTTTCATTAACACATACAACTTACAGCTTAGACCTCCAGTAATGCCATCTCTGCATCAGCTTTTATATCAGATCTGAGCCAAATATTGATAACTTAAGCCTCATGACGTTTAGGCAACACGTACAACTAAGTGCTAAGTTAACATCTTGTAGAAGAACCTACATAATCTAAAAAAAAACAGTATAATGTCGCTTTTCAAGATACGTGATATCCGTACCGGAGTCTATACGGTAGAGAGAGCCTGTCGTGACACATAGTGCCTGATTAACAATTAAATCAATACTCATCGAGGTCTTGTATGTAAGCTTAACTTAAACAGTCGGTAATCTCAAAAATAATAATTTTAAACTGAGTTTTTATGCATTGGAGATGGGGGGGACATAAATCTCAGATAACTCGCAAGTATGCAAGTAATCGGCTTCAGAGAAGCTGTTAAGAATCTTACTCTACTCAGAATGATCCAAAAAGCGCAAAAATGCAATAAGTCATTCTTATTTTTATGAAGGTAGAACCATAATTTGTTTGCTTGCTCACACTATGGAATTATGGAAGTTAAAAATATCAATGTGTTCTTTAAAAAAGTATAAGTGTAACTCTCATATATCACTGTTAAAATATGAATTAAACCAGGTACACAGGAAAGTCTCCCGCTGTGGCGTGTGATATTTATAATTGTGTGGTAACTTATTTATATATATATAATTTTCGGACCTTACTAACAGACCGTTCTATAAATGTTCTAGATAACTAGAAAACGATTGACTTTATTGTTTGACTTTGATAAGGCTAGCTGTTTTTTTTTGTGTATTTCTTGGGTTTGGTCAGGCATACTACGTCAAGAACGTGGTTACAATATTTGAAGTAATTATATATGTTATATATGTTAGAACTTTTATATGTAGCATCTATAAGGCGGGCGTCATTTGTCATAAGTCGTGTAAATTAACTGACAATATGGGCCGAACAGATTTGATGTTAAGCGAGCCCCAGTTCAGAATAGTTGCAATCATATTGGTAGTCACGAGGATGAAATCAACCCAACCAAAATTTGTAGCTATTATTTCCGGAAGTGACAAATTATCATAGCTTGAGCGCGCCGAATCTAGTAGATAAAATGTTTGATACCTATATCCACCGAAGAGTATGAATTAATACGAAAATCATAGAAACAATTCACTCTGATACATTTTCTTAATAAATCGTGTTAATTAACTAACAATATGGACCAACGAGATTTTAATTCACGCGATCCACGATTCAAAACATTCCCAGCGATAGCAAATGTCACGATTGTAGAATCAATGCTGCCGTAGTCGTGACCTTTATTCTTGGTAATGATAAATTATCATATCTTCGGCTCGGCGAAGCTAATAAATAAAGTGTTTGATATATTGTCCAAAGAATATGAGTTAATACCTAAATTATAATAATTATTCACTCCAATTGTATGTAAAAAAGAATGTCCGACATTTCCTGATACATGGAATCCCTTATCAACTTCCCTATTAAATGCTTACGATATACAAGGATATTTATGACAATCTAGTATGTAAGAACTAAGAAATATGTTACGTTGACCTATGACATTCCACTGATGTGTTACAGAGCTCTTCCATCGGGTTATCCTGATAAGTGGGTCAAGTCTTAGCCCTTGGGCTTTGCAGCGGGATCCGCTGTGGGTGAAAAGGAGTGTAGCGAAGCATACTAATTGCCATGGAGATTTACACGAAGACGACTTAGCTCCCTGTTTAAGGCAGCGCCCTTTAAGCCAACTAATGAGCGTCAAGCTGGATATGCCGAGATTCTTACCAGGTAAGTGCTGATGTGGGTCTACGTATATTTGATAGTATAGGTATAAGCAAAGCAACTTTTAGGTAATAATAATTATGACTTCTTCCTGACATAAATGGGTATAACCAGATTGACACCTTCATGTTTCACCAGCTCAGCCAGTAGCCAAGCATTTACTGTTTTTCTTTTTTTGCTAATGTTTTTTACTACTAGATTGAGTGGAAGAGCAGATATGCGTCACTTTAGTGAAGCACAACTTAACATCTTCGTTCGCCCATCTGCCTTTTTCTATGAAATAGGTTTATAGGTTCTCTAGAAGACCCAAAAACCATAATTCCTCAAGGTTATGCGGAGTTGTCGGTATACCTCTCATGTTAACCTTCGAGAAAACGCTTTTCACCTGAAGTCTTACGGCAACCGCCTATGTGGATTCAACTCTCTTAACCTAGTCCAAGGGTGGAACTACGAATAAACCAAAATGTTTTACCAAAGTATAGTACAAGAGAATAATAATGTCAAGTAGGTTGACTCTGTACTTCACACGCAAATCTGTTATATTATATAAAGTATCTCACCAATAGATACTACAACCTACTATCAATAGCTCCCAGCCTCCACTTTTCAAACCCTACAAATTCGTTTCTAGAAATGAGCAGAAGTCTCTAAAAATAATATTGAGCGATTTTTATTAATATCTTCTTTTTTCGCGTTCGTGTTTTGTTGGTTGTTCAACCGGCACTGTGTGGATTTTCTAAACCTTTAAAGCTTCTTCGGTCTTGGCATTGTAGTAACATTGTGTCAAAAATTCCATCATAATCCGAGTGGTTCCTTCTAAGTTAAAGAGGAGCGAAGTATCAGCGGACAGGCAGACCGACAGGCAGACCAACCGACGAAGACAAGCTATATTAAATCTAAAGAACATAATCACTACGGAAATGTTTCGCGATTGCAATAATCCCTTTCCCATCAGCATGAGAAGTGTCCTAAGGTTGTAGCCAAACGATGGAAACTTATATTAGCCGTGATGAAGACTCGAGTAGCTAAGAACTATTTGGTGATGAGGATCTTTTTTACAAATGTATTTACCTCTGGATCTATTTGTTTGTCTACTGCCAGTATTCTTGGGGATACCGTGTGATACAAGTAGGTCAAGATTATAACGTATGTCTTAGAAGTTTTGGCACAAAGTTCATTGGCTTTAATTTTAACAAAGACAAAATAATATCAAGTTCCATTGAAAAATAAAAGTTTGTTTACTTACTTTACTGTCAGTTGACATTTATTTATTTTGAAGTTTTCACTTTCAGATATCATATAAATTAGAAATAAGAAAAAGTATCTACAATTTGGTTGAGTCGGTACCCAAAGCTGAAATCTGTCGAATATTCCAAAATGAAAACGTTTCACGCGGAACCATCTATCGAACAATAGCGGTGCGCGAGCAGGGAATACCATGTCTAAATCTTCCAGAAAGTGGAAGACCACATGCATTTAATGCACATAGGTCACAGAGATTGGTGAAAAGAGCAAAAATCAGATTGGAATGTTAACAAGGAGACTGGCTCGTCAATACAGATCTTGTAAGAGAACGATATCGTTGGAATTAAATACACTTAAGCGCAACTCCTTTGTATACCAAGATGCTGTCATCAACTAAGGACACACACTTTGCCAATGAAAAAATCATTATTTGAGATGACGAAAAGTATTTCACTTTGAATAATTCTGAAATGAAGGGAAACGACGGATTTTAGACGGACAACGTAGAGTAATGCCCTGATAATGTTAGATACAAAAATAAAGCGAAATTTGCAGATAAAATCCTTGTCTGGTGCGCAATTTATAACAGGAGTATCCCAACCTTTTGTGGGAAAAGTGAGGGGTGAAGCTTTGAATAGTCAGAACTATATAGATTAGATGAGTATCGAGTTGGAATTTATGATAACTAGTTGGTGTTTAAATAAATTTCTTCATTAAATAAAAATCCGAGCAGCGGTGGCCGCAGTGGTAGACGCTTCGAATCCCATTCCAAAAGGATATGGATGTTGTGATTGTCCATAGGTGGTAGACGGTATCTGACTGTCTTACGCGGAGGTGCCACCGGGCGGATCTTGTAGGCGGGGACAGAATGTGTGCATGTTTCATGCACACGTGTTCCCTCGCTAGAGTCCGTGTAGCATCCCCCTCGTTTCCCCTGTATGTATTCCCCTATAGACCCACGGTACCCCATGGGTGTTTAGGCCTTAGGCCTTCGTGGTAGTTGGAGCATAAAAAAATCAATACCCTTAGTACATACGTTAACCTTTTTGTTAATGAATTGATTTGAATGGAATTTGAAATGCAAGTTGTATCTGCAATTCTTAATTATCCAAATAAAGTTCCAAAGAAATGTTATTTAAAACGCTAAAAGTGCTTTCAAGTTGTTTAGAAACCTTGCAGGAGGTAACATCACAAGAATTCCACCAACCCACTTTTAACGTCCACTCATGTGTGCAAACACGCGCCGTAGCATCTAACTGAAAGAGTCCCGAATGCGTCTTCCAATCGAATAGTTAACAATTCAGTGGAAAAAAGAGTTAATTACTCATAAAACAAAAAAAAACGTAATTACCTACAAAACACGGTACATTTTCAATTCTGGATATTAGATAAAAGCCTTTGATCTCCGTATAAAAAGGCGTTACCTGTCAGGAAGAATGTGGTCCATCAGTTGCTTTCTTAGTTTTATTCCGATAGTTACATAGATATTTGTGAAATGGATTTCACTCAACATTCCATAGTATTTGGAGATAAGTCAAAGACAAGAAAGCCCCGGTGAACCAGTCTGGCAAAAGGTGTTTTTATAATCAACAGGAATTTTTACTCGTTTTGGACTGACCTATATATTGATATATGAGTCTCCGTGGAATTGACATTGTCAAAATATGATAATACATTAAATATACCAAAGGCACCTTTCGACGGAATATGCAGACTTAAGGATCGTTAAAAGATGTTATTGAAAAGTGCACACCCATAAAATGCCTTTGAAAGTTGTTAAGACCCAACTCAGAAAAGTAAAGCAATATTAAAGAGACTCAAATGTTTAACCCGTATATATTTTTTACTACGTCCTGTAATTAGATCAGCGCGTTTAGAAAAGCCTTATTACGTATTAAAAGTAATACAGTACAGTATATTTTCAATTTAGTTTGAGTTCCCAGTCAGAGTAGTTTTTGAAAAAAATATCGCGAGCTTCCAAGTCTCTTACAAACAAGTTCTTGACTGGATGTGTTTTTCTGTACTATACAAGACGACAATTTCTATTTTCTATATAGTAACCCCTATGATATGGGTATTAAATGAATGGGTTTGATAATCGATACACAATAAGGAAACAGACGTCATTATATATCCAACATGGTAGATGCCACCGCAAAATGACGCCTTATAACTAATAACTTCGCCGCAAATAAAGAATATATTTATTTACTCACTTATTAAGTAATTTATTTTATTTATTTATTTATTTATTTCTTATTCATTTATTTATTTAAGGAGTTTCAACTGAGAGGGCTTGATGAGCGAAGCTCAATCAGTAAAATCTTTTTTTTTTACATCCAGTATGGCGAAAATCAATGTCATTGCAATGTTGTTTGGACGTGGAGCTTATCTCATGATAGAGCTGAAAGGAGGCAATGATAACTCTGTAATAAATCGGCGCAAACTGCTGTCAACTGTTATTAAATACTCATCTATAATAGCCATACCTTCCAGCTTTTGTACATTAGTCAGTTTGCTAAAATGTACATATGTACTTATAGATATGAGTACATCTTCCGTATATACGTTATTATTGTATGATTTATATCGACCGAAATCCAACAATATAGATAAAGTAAGAAGTTTTGTAAGCTCCTGATAATAAAATATATGCAAATCAGCCAAATATTACTAAACTAGTTAGTTGAATCATAAATAATGAAATGTAAATAATGAAATGTAAATAATGAAAAATAGAAAAAAAATGTTCGAAACATGATTCAATTTAGCTGTTAATTAGGATGTTAATAAAATTAAGAAAGACTTATTTTTCCGGCTGGAAGTATGCTGTTTTATCGCTCTCAACGAATTGAAGATAATGAAGCCCATTATCTGTTACATATGGGAAAAGCAGTTTATCAATCAACCTCGTGTATATACATAACCGCTAAAAAAGTCTGAGTTCCGCTAATGATCAGATTTTCCAGTTGAACAAATAATAATCCAGCAGTGAAAAGAATGATCAATTTATAAAATACGTAATGAGGGTACTTTCAAATGGCCAAGTATTCCTAAGTATTCACATCAGATCGAAGATTTGGAGTAACTTCGGTACATAGTCGTCGTGCTCGTGCCTGTCGAGAAAGGGTCGATTAGCAAGTGAATAAGAAAAAAGTAACTAATTGCCAGAAGCACTCTTATCTGCGACTACCTGATAATAATTTGGCATAGGCAGCTGGATTTGCCTTCGTATTCTCCAACATCTACTCGTCAACGAAGCCGTAACCAATAAAAAAAGATGCGAAAAATAAAATATAATTTGAATGCAATTTTATTTACATAGCTCAGATGAAGTTGTTACTGAATTTGGAAGTTAAGTCATTTGCTGTATTGGTAGATTTCTCTAATAATGTGTTAGGTCGCCCCAGTGCCATATACACTCCTCCAGCCAACGGGACGTGCTTCTGAAGAGGTGATTCTTGGAAAATGTGATCCCAAGATTGCTACATTTCATTCTACTTGTATATAGCTGCTAACGTTTGTGGAGGATGAGGTAAATAGGTCACTTTTCTCCCCATCATGTTCCACACATGTTCAATGAGCAAAAGATTTGTAAAGATCTAGGAGACCCAGTAAGCATGCTGACCTAAGCATTATACAGGTAGCTTATTGTATCTGTGGCAGTATTGGGATGGGCACTAACCTTATTGGAAAATAGAGTTGTCAAGCTTTTTGGGAAATGCTTAGAAATCAGGTTCAAGTATTTTCTGGATATACCGTTGCGCCGTCATATTTCTTCGAACGGAAACTAGAGAAGACCTAGCACCATGTGGTACATCAAACCATAACTCTTACAGTATGAGGCACGTGGCGTTCAACTGAAAACTTACATTGCAACTTTATTAGTGTCACCTCCTAACTCGTGTGCGTCCATCATGCATACCTAAACAGACCGACGACCAGTCACTAAAGACAATATGAGATCATTCATCAACTCAACTTTCTCGGTGTAGTTTCTCTTTAGGGATGACGACGGACTGGCACGTGCCGGAAGGCGCTGCGGGGTAAGTCATAATCTAAGTTTTCAGTTGAACGTCACGTAAGAGTTACGGTTTGGAACGTCATTACATGTGTTGCTGAGTCACCCCTATTTTCCATTAGAAGCGACACCACGGCGTGACGGCATGTCCAGGAAATCCTTGAAGCTTAATTTTTACCTTTTTCCAAACGCTTGAGAATCCTAATTTACAAAACGATAATATGCCTCACCATATTGCTAGAAGTACAGTGAACTCTGCGTTAATAATGCGCAAGTCAGCCTCCTTGCTTGACCTGCCAAAGCTACAGCTCTTTAGCCCCTTGAACATGCGTGGGATATGATGGGATGGAAGCAAGTACTACTAACGTGGGATGAGATAGCTCAGTAAAACAGAAATCTTTTTCTCGGAACCGAGCCCCGACAACTGGATAAATGTATATGAAAAAGAAGTATGCCAACACATTATTGGGTATATCCAGCGACACCATAAACTGTTTCACCTCAAAAGTTACCCTCAACTTCCTCGTACTCATGTATAGCTGTTTATACTATATACATATACTGTATACTTTATGTTCTACATATGTTTTATTTTCTTTCTCACTGACTATATATATCAAGCAACATCATAAGAATTCTACCAAAGCACTTTTAACAACCTCCCTCGTGTGTATACAGGTATCCAACTAAAAGAGTCGGACTTCCGCTATAGATCGCGTTTTCCAGTTGGATAGCTAACGATCCAGCATCCAGCAACCGGCGGCGTCTGCCCGTAATGCGCTTCAGTGACTAATTATCTTTAATTGAAATTAAAAGCTATTAGGGGCCTCGGGGTCCACTAATAACTTCAAACTACGTACGTTAAACGCAAATCGCAACCGTGATGACTTAGAGCATAGAGAGTGATGGGAAAATTAAACAGGATATAGAGTAAAATCGTTCGCGGTCCTATGGACCATTTTACGTCCACCGTTTATCGTTGTATCGTTGTGTGGCCTTTAAGTAGAAAGTATAATACCACTAATACATACTTATGCAACCATCATAAAGAGTGTAAATGTAAAGACTTCTCATGAACTGCTCACCCAGAGCCATAACTTGAGATTTCACTTGACCTCCCGCACCTTTATTAACAAAGTACAGATGGCTAGTCGGGTAGCAACCAGCTCGAGTTGCCATTTACGCTAGATTTTAGTCCCTGTAGTTGGTGTTATGTGGTATTGATGGCAACACGTGGTATGTACGAATATGTTCAAATATACCGCTAGGATATAGTGACAGATACCTACGGCGACATGTTGAACGTAACTTTCCCCCAGAGGTTGCCATATTCCAAAATGCAAAATAAGTGAATTTGAATAAATTTTAAACTACAACTGCAAACTGGATTGGCAATTTGAAATACTGCCCGCAGAAACGTCAGCAAAGTAATTACACTTGTTTTGGCATTTGGGCCAGACAGAAAGTAGAGGAGAATGATCGACTATAACATTTACGCTCGCACCAGGACATGATGTTCAAATTCGTGCGCTCTCCTTGGCCCATAAATGCCTGGGCATAGCAGCAACAAGCGACTTTAACCGGCGATCAAGAGCTCATGTTTGATTTAATGCGGCGTAAATGGGACTAGAATACCTTATAGACGTTGGTTCTTACTGTGTGTGCTGCAGATTTTTGTTAGTAACAGAGAAAATATACGCACTCGGTTTTAGTAACAATAAGGTTTACTGTATCCTTTAATATGTTTGCATCTATACCTAAAACTAAAACTAGTATCACCGTCATTGAAGTGACTATAAATTCTCCATACAAGAATGCTGCGTGTTTTTTTGCCAAGATAAACTTGTTACTCACTTTTGCCATTTTATACTATGTCCATTTAAAGTCACATTGATACCAATATCTAAATCATTCCTAGTGAATAAAATTAACTGTGTTTTTGCTGGATTATTTTTACTCTTGTTACTCGCACATTGAGTTATAGCCTGTGAAAGGTTGTTCAAGCTGTCTATAGCTATGATTGTTCATTGCGGAGAACAACTGATGTAAAGCTGTAAGTCGTCAAGTGCGGTTGACAGCTATGAAGTTGTTCACTAATATCTGTTATGTACAAAGAAAAAACCTAAAGGCACAAAATTGACCCTTGAGGTACACATGACCAATCGATAAGCATTCCCATGATTTATATTTGTTGTCGCACATCAACTTTGCAGATTGATATGTACATACCAGAAAGCCTTTGAACAATTAAATACCATCTTTGATTCCATAATATGCTGTTAAAAGTCAAATACTTGAAGAATCAAATGTTTTAGTCATAACAACTAAGACCACGGCTGTACTGTTTTCTGTATCAAGACCAGCCGTTATATCATTTATAATTTTACATATTTGTTTGACACGAAAAACCTTTTCTAAAACCTGATTGAGATTGTGGAGTAATTTGATTAGAGCATAATGCTTCTTAGGGATTAGAATTACATAGCATGTTTCCATAATTTTGGTACCTCACCAATTTTTACAGAGGAATTCATTATATGTGCCATTGAATGCAAACACTGTGGAAGACAAAGTTTAATACTGTATAGATACTCTCAAAGCTTCAGATCTTGTGACCAAAGTTATCTGAAAAGAGATGTCTGGGTTAAACGATTTTAAAGGTAAATCACCGAAATACCAATTGAGATTGCCATTTATAAAAAGAATATCAATAGCATCTGTCTCAAAGTCATTTCCCGATAATTAAGCGTTAAATTTTCTCACTATTCTCCAATTACTCAAGCGCTTCCATAGTCTCTTTGAATCACCACGAAACGTTATTGTTTCAAAATTATAGTATTCTTGTTTTTCATGTCCATATACATGGTTCTCTAGATTCAAGTGATATTGCTGGTCAGCAGATAAACAGATAAACAACTATTTTTATATTTCTTAATTGCTTTATGCTTTTCTTTCATTATTTCTTTCTAATTATATGTTGGCCATGGTGTTTTTATGTTTTTTCTCTTGATTTTTTTTGAGCAATGTACATCAAATATGTTTATAATATAAACTATATTTACTTTCAATGTATTTTTAAAATTCAATTTGTTGTCGAGTGTTTATATGTCAGTAGACAGCCTCATAATCCGATTTAATTGGCTCACATGTCATAACAAAACTATGGCATACGTAACTAGAACTCGCCACTAGATCTGATAACGACACACGAATATTTTGGATGCGATTGAGACTCACTGTTATAAAGGGATGATTTTCAAATTTCCTCTTAATAAGAACACCTGATGGTTTCTAAAGAATACTGGAGTCCGGCTATTTGCGGGATGTTCCTCTCCACAGTTCGCGCACTTGCGTTCTTCCTCTTCGGTGAGGGGGCAGAAATGCGTCATGTGGTCCTTTGCACATTTTAAGCATTTGGGCGGTGCAGTGCAATTTGACTGCGCATGCCCATACTTTTGGCAGCGGTGACACTGCCCAATGGGTCTGGAGTTCTTCTGAACCTCAACTCGAATTGCCAGTCCCAGCAGTTCGTGTTCGTTGAACACTTGCTGAGACTTTTCAGTCTTGGGCAGTATCACGACCACCAAAGGCATGGGCGCGCCGCCGCTGCGCTTCAATCGAATGATGTGAAGAGGGCTATATCCCCTCTGCTCCAGTTCTCCCTTAATCTCAGTATCCGAAAAGTTGACGGGAAATCCTCGAACCACCGCATGGATGTTCCGTTCCGAAGGGAGAGGAAAAGTGTGATGGGGCACTTCTTCCTCTCGGAATAGGCGAACGATCTTACGGTAGTCGTCCTCGGATTTAGGAATAATCCTTATTCCCGCATCGACGGCAACCGCGCGATCTATTTTAATACCTAGGGAAATAAACTTGAAATTTAAAGTACGCCATCTCGTCCCGTCGCGTAAGACGATCAGGGTTATGCGCCCTTGTCGTGAGGGTTGAGTTGATGCCACGACGGTTGGACGAGATGACGGAGGAGAAGTGGTCCCTGGCTTGGAAATAGAAGCATTAATAGTGTTTCGATTTGATGAATTGGGGGAGGTGTGAAATGGAATTGATCCTGTATTCGGAAGAGGACGAAAGTCTTGGGTTGATCGATCAGCCTTGTCGCCTTTCCTCCTCCTTGATTTTGCATTTACAAATCCTTCAGTCTGTACGTCTTCGTCTGTGGATATGAGATGATCATCAGAAACGTTTCCCAGTGGTCTTTTTAGGGTCTTTGTCCGTTCTTTAGGGGATCCTTTTGAATTTAGTAATATGGTTACCTGGGCGGTAAGGCTGTCAATTTTGGCTGTCTGGTCCTTGATGGTCTCCATTAGGTCTCGAATCTGCCTCGCCTGGTCGTCTATAATCAGCATCAGTTTTTCGATCGTTTTCTGCTCCGATGACATCTGCGTCAGTGAGCTCATGTTTCTGCTTCTGCTTGGTTCCCACCACCGCTCAGCTCTTTCCTCATAGTACGTATATGTGGAACTGCGTCGTCTGTTGATCCTCCTGGGTCAACTTCCATCTTTTAAAAACTTTTCCTCGCCAACAAATCTCAGGAAACTTATAGGTCGCAAATGTGACAATGTTGTCAAAACCCTTTTTACAGGGCGTTTTTAACTCCACGACTTTTGCTTCCGCAGCATTCAAGTTGAAACATAGCTGGCATGACTAATTTTTGCATACATCATATTTTATATTCTTCGTGATAGATATGGTATAGTATTTTTTCATTTGAAACATGGCATACTTCATATTTGTAAGAGATAATGAGCTTTTGAGGTCACAATGTTGTTTACAACCTTTCATCTTGAAAAGTGACATTTTGCCGATCTTTTTGACATTATGCTGGTTTTTTTGACATTATGTAGGCCTTTCTACAAGATGTTAACTTAGCACTTAGTTGTACGTGTTGCCTAAACGTCATGAGGCTTTAGTTATCAATCTTTGGCTCTGATTTTATGTAAACTTTGCTGAGAGATGGCATTGCTGGAGGTCTAAGCTGTAAGATGTATGTGTTGATGATAATTCCATTGGATTCTTGTCTCAAATACACTTAATCGAGATTCAAAGCTAGACATTAATTGCGCAGCCACGTTTTCTTATACATTCTGGAAATTACATTTACAAATTTGCTGAATTTCAAAAATGAGAGAGATCAGAAATAATTTATTCACTGTACACTGTCGAAGTACAAGCCATATACATACTAACAGTAATTACACACAACGCGGGCGCGGTGATGATTTCCCGTAATTCTCCTCAGTATTTCGTAATTTATAACTTTGAACATAACCTCTCTTCAGAAAACACAACATATAAATAACCCGTCATATTCAAGATATTCAGTAATGATTTTCTCACACAGCAAATATCACTGATTTTATACACATGCAGACCAATACACATAATCATCCAGATGCGGTTTTGCTATTCAACCAACTTTCTTCTCAGAGATAAAAACCACAGACGCGGATCACCCGGCCTCACAAAACTACGCAACCAATAATGCGTGTAGTTTAGTTGAGTGATTCCTTCATAGATGGACGTCCACAACGATCCTAGTGAGAAAACGTGGAATGACTGTTTGCCCCTAAAAACTACCTAGTCTCTTAGTCTGCAAGTTGACATCTTATAGGTTTTTTTTGGCGTTTTGTAGGTTTTTCACCAAGTTGCTTGAATGTAGATCCTAAAATATAATATGAATACAGCGTTCTTGCTATTTAATGCGATAATGCCAATTGCCTCTTTTGTTATATTCCTGTATCACTGCATGTGAATGTAACTCGTATGTGACTTGTTGCTGCTTTTTCAGTTTTATTTCTTGCATCACGGGAACATTAGAATGCGAGATATTGTGTTTGCCTACCACTCTATAAAAGGACAAATGCCGTTTCGATTATGAGAGAAAAATATGTCTCATATTTTTTTCACATTCTGATCGACTTTTCTAAAAGAAGAGTATTGATATTATATAACATTATGACGATTAGTTGTTTGTTGTTTATATTCTAAGGTTGCGAAGTATTTTCAAGGACCTATATTATATAACATTATGACGATTAGTTGTTTGTTGTTTATATTCTAAGGTTGCGAAGTATTTTCAAGGACCTTCATTAAATCAGAATTCCATTTAGAAAATGTTCCAAGATCGCGTCTACCCAATAATTCGAGTGCTGAACTTCTCAACCATGTTTTGCAAAGGAAAAAATTGTCCGACTAACTTAGTTAACTTCTTGGAAAGCCTGTATTTAAAACCACTACCACTTTGTTCACTAATATCCGTTATGTACAAAGAAAAAACTAAGAACTCAAAATTGACCCATGAGGTACACATGCCTCAATCAATAAGCATTCCGATGACATTTGTTGTCAAACATTAACCTGGCAGACTGATATCTGCATACCAGAAAGCCTTTGAGCCATAAAATTCCATAATATGAAAGTTTGCTGTTAAAAGTCGAATACTTATTCAAAGTTTATTCAAATTCAAAAACCAATATAACTTACAAATTAAAATCAACCTTCAGTACAATTTAAATAAAAAAAGCTTCAAAAATACATGAGCTTGTATGCTCTTGCTACCCTGAATAACCAAGATTGCAACAGAAATCTGAGCAAGGATACTAGCATCAGATCTAGAACCAGCAAGTAACGGTATATGAATTGTGAAAATTCTGTATACTTTCGTAAAGGGTAAATGTCTGGATCTTGTGGTCACAAATCCTAAATTACGTGTCTGCATAAACAAATCTAAAATTCATAACAATAGTACAGAAGCATACTAAAAACACTCAGAAGTATAAATATAGAGTACATAGAATATGAATATCTGAAATATGATAATAGAAGGATATTTCGAGTAAGGTCAAACTATTTTGTTTAAACAATAAAAATTTTGCGTAAAGGTTAAGCAGAGAAACAAGAGTACTACAATTTACCACAAAAGAATTTACTACAAAATAATAGACACCTAAGCTATAAGCTTGTGTGTGTCATACAATATACAAATTCAATGCATGGCTAATGGTCATAAGGTATATTATGAGCAAATGTATATAAAAAAAGAAATAAAAAAAAACATTAGATAGAAACGAAATTACTGAGATGAGTCAAGCTACCGTCGATGCAAGCATGTCAAAGTTATTTAAGATGAACTTCTTAATTCTTTTTTTGAAACTATACTTCGAGAGGATTTTATATTCTAGGGGTAATTTATTATACAACCTAATACCATCAAACTTTATACATTTTTGGCAAACAGATTTATTCACTCTGGTATAGGTGTAACTTATATTTATTTTAGTTCTTGTTTCATAAGCGTGGCTGGTTGGAACATTGTTTCGGGAGTGAACAAATTTTAGAGCAGCAAAAATATATAAACCTCTAACATTCAAAAGATCATTTTCAATGTAAACAAATATGCAAGTTTACCTACATGGGATTCGAAAAATAGTCCTGACAATATAATTTTGCGTGGTTTGCAGTATTTTTAAAGTACTAGTGTATGCGGCTCCCCAAATACTTATCCCGTAAGTTAGTAAAGACCCCACAAACGAGTTATATATTGAGAGAAGACTCTTTCTGCTTAAAATATTCCTAAGAATGAAAAACTTATGAATAATTCTCTTTAATTTCGATGCCAAAAGCTCGGCATGACTCTGCCATTTTAAATTACTGTCAACAATGATTCCTAAGTATCTAATAACTTCAACTCTTTCGACAGTGTCAGCACTATCATTTATAATTAATGTTCGGTGGTGTAATGGCATGCCTGCTTTGGCTGGAGAAAACGTTACATACTTAGTTTTAGAGATATTAAGTTTAAGTAAATTTTTATCCAACCAGCATTTGACTTTATTTAATGACAACTCGGCATTCCGTATTGCGTCATCCCATGAATGACCAGTGCAAACTAAAACAGTATCGTCTGCATATGATATCATCTTACAGTTGAAATTACATCGAAGTAGTTCATTTATGTATATGAGGAACAGTGTTGGTCCCAAAACCGTCCCCTGAGGCACACCTATTTAGATCTTTTGAATGTTGCTTAAATCTGACGCTACCTTAACTTGTTGTAATCGATCAGCCAAATAGTTCTCAAATAAGTTCAGAACTCCACTACGCACTCCAACACTTTCTAGTTTCTTTAATAAAATTGTATGAGATACTGAATCGAAAGCCTTTTGAAGATCAAGGAAAACTGCAACAGTCTTATTTCCATCTTGAAAATTTTCAAGCACTTGTCCTGTAAGTTCTTGTAGAGATTGCTCTGTATTGCAATTTTTGCGGAACCCAAATTGACAGTTCGATATAATGTCATATTTCTCAAGAAAAGAACAAAGTCTGTTATTCAAACACTTCTCAAAAAACTTCCGAAATACATTGATAACTGAAATGGGTCTATAATTACTTCCAGATTTAAATATTGGTGTCAATATGCTTTCTTTAAATTGGCGAGGAATTACTGAGGATTTGAAACAGAGGTTGATAATGTGAGTTATAGGGTGACTGATATACTTCATGATCATCTTGATAGTTTTAGTGTTTAAGCCATCTTTTCCGGGTGCGCTACTATTTTTCAGATTACAAACTATTTGTTGTAACTCTATGTTATCCACTGGTGTTAGAAACATAGACGACATGAGGATCTGATGTATCAAGAATTGAGTTTTGATCAATCTGACTTGTGATTTGCTCACCTATATCAACAAAATATTTATTAAAAACCCAGGCTATATCAGTGGGAGCGTCCAGCTGCTGATTATTGTGATTAATTGATTTTACGTCATTTTTTTTTATT